AATTTTGCTTGCTTCGCTGTCAGTCGAACAAACGAAGACTAGAGCGTGAATGACGCTCTGTATACGATTTTAACGCCCTATAAGTTCGGTCACTTTTTAGCGCGGACCCGACGTCCATATAATTGTAAGTCTATGGAGCTAATGTATCTTTTTGTTAATATCAAGTGACGGGACGAACATGTGCGTCTAATGGTAAGCTGCATGCCTGTCCATAACAGTTGCAGTGTCACTCAAAGCTTTAAATCACAAAGATCTGAGAGACACTGCCACTGCGCCCGTGAGACATAAGTTGACAAGTCCCATGTGCCTGTAATTTCACCAGCACCCTTCAAAACCGAAACACAGTACCTAATGCTGACATTACTGCTTGGCGGCAGAAATAGGTAAGGTGGTTTGCAAGGTGCTCTACTGCTAGTTTTGTAAGTAGAAGGAATCAGTTAGAAAAGGAAGACCACGAAGAACATTCTCAGATCAAATTGAGAAGTGTTCTTAAAAAGGTTGGAGTGCTTAGTGAGAGAGCAAGAACAAGATGTATGAAAAGATTAATTAATGTAAGTGAAGCAAGAGAAGTTTGTAAGGATCATGCTAAGTGGTGAACGATAGTCTCTTTGTGGTTTATAAATAAACCACAAACCAGACGCTTCTGCTAAAGTTAGTAAGGTGAGTAGCAGTAAGGTTAATTCCTTGTGAAAGAGTTCGTCCAGGGTAGTACTGCTACCTTACCTATTTCTGCCACCAAGCAGTAATGAGAGCATTACTGCGTTCCGGTTTAGAAGATAAAGGTGCTGGTGAAATTATAGGCACATTAGGCTTGTCAACTTATGGCTCAGGATGATGGGCGCAGTGGCAGTGCCCCTCAGATCTTTGCGATTTAAAGCTCTGAGACGCACTGCAATTGTTATGGACAGACCATTGACTTACAATTATATGGACGTCGGCTCCGCGCTAAAAAGTGTCCGAACTTATAGGGCGTTAAAATTAGTCTTCGTTTGTTCGACTGGCAGCGAAGCAAGCAAAATTAGACAGTACTGCGATGACATTACAATTTAAATTAAACGTTTTAGCTTTTTCATATTCCTTTACATGTCACTACGTTTAAATAGGTTGACTTGGGACATTTTTTTCGTGGTTTTTGTATTAGACCCGTCGTCCATTTATTTGTAAGTCAATGGGACAGACGCATAGCTTACTATCAGGCGCACGACTTGTTTGTCCTGTCACTTGATATTATAAAAAAAGTGTAATAATATGTGGTTCTCTATATTATATGTGTCCATGGCACCAGCGATACACTGTTTCCCTAATGTGGAGCTATGAGTGTGTGCATTATTATTATTGTTATTAAATTTAATACAGATCTTCGTTTCAGGCTGTACCTTGGACCATGCCCAGGTTAGATCCCGAAACCGGCGAGCCGCAATATAATAAAGATGGTCAACCGATCTACGATGGATATTGCATAGAGCTAATCGGCAAATTGGCGGAGACAATGGAATTTGATTACGAGATTGTGACCCCGAAAAGTGGAAGTTTCGGACGAAGACTTACTAATGGCAGTTGGGATGGTATTGTCGGAGATCTTATGAGAGGGGTGAGTGAAGATAATTTACAATCAGTCGCCTGATTATAATTAAATTCTTTGAGTGATTTTTGGCGTTTGAGACCGAGGAAGCCACTGCTTCATGCTCTCCTAGTCGTCGAACACGTGCTGTCGATTCAGTCTCTTAATTTTGCCACCATCAACCAGTGCTTGAGCTCGAGGATTCGGATGAATATTGAGCCGATCCCTGTGATTACGTCTATTTACGTATATATATAAATATATATGTATATATATACATCCATCACTTCTACAATCGTTGGAATCTCCAGCTATTCGTGGATTTCAGTGTTCCTGCAGCTTCGAAGAAACTTTCGATACTTCTAATCGGAACAATAGTGGATTTAACTCACAAATTAGAAAGATATAGTAGGAATCAGGTTCATCTTTTCGCTCAGAAACCCATCTCATTTCGAGACTACCCGATCGGCTCGATTCCTATGACGAAGGATGTTGTTTTGAACTCTTTGAAGGCATTGGATGTTTGATTTGGTGGCTCATAACTGAATGCCATAGAGTCATAACAGCTTCAATATGGCATAGTACACCATGAGCTTGTTAAATTTCAATCATTTTGTGATTCAAATTCAAATTATTTATAATGGCGACAATACACCGAACGCTGAAGTTACTTATCGGAATACAAAGGAAACCGCCGACTCCACACTTCTACAAAGGAAGACACAGCAAATGTAGATCACGAGTCGCTGGGTCAGCGCACGTGCCCCGATTTACCGGAATAGTGTAATTTTTAAGTCGGACACTTTTGTTTCCAACTTGTCACCAAATCTTTAGCAATTAATTTTGTAGGAAACGAAATGATTTTTCCGAATTTAAATCGCGTATATTTGTTTTTTCAAATAAACCGACGTTTCGGGCCAGTTACAGGTCCCATGGTCACGGTTGACTGAGGTGGTACAGTCAGCAACCAGTTATGTCTAATATTAATGCAAACCACGCTATTTTTTCACTATAGTTACAAAAGTTATTAATTAAATACTGTAACGGGATCCAGGAGGATGTGGCAAAAGCTCGTTTCGTCAGTGAAAGAAAAATAGCGCGCTTAATAATCAAGTAAGCAGAACTTTATTGGTGGCAGTACACAAAAGGCGTAACGGGAGGTACGGTAGGTTCTCGTATACAGCGCGTACGCAGTAAATACCCAATGTAGTCCAGAGGAAACCGTACACACATCAATACACAAAAGGCGTAACGGGAGGTACGGTAGGTTCTCGTATACAGCGCGTACGCAGTAAATACCCAATGTAGTCCAGAGGAAACCGTACACACATCAATACACAAAAGGCGTAACGGGAGGTACGGTAGGTTCTCGTATACAGCG